TTGTCTCAACAGTTGTGGAGACACTGACATCTTCACGCAGCCCTGAAAAGATCACAGCCCAGAGCCAGCAGCAGTTCCTGCCAGGTGGGCAGTTGCCAGGGGGCACCTCCCCTCCTTCCGCTGTTTGTTTGTCTTCTCTTCCCTAGGAGGCTGCTGTTCCTGTGTCCATGTGCTCTCCAGGATACTTTGAGCCCACTTGGCTGTGGCTTTTTCTGGCACAGAAGGGGCCAGGGCTCAGCACGGTGTCTCATGGGTGTCTGGGGTGTGCTGTGCTTGGGTCAGGTGCCAGGCATTGCCGGGCACGTTGCCTGGTAGCCTCCAAGAGGAGGTCAGGCTTCGCTGCTCTTCCAGGCTGGGGGCCATGGCAGGTCCATGGCTCCCTGCTCCTTTGGGAGAGGAAGCCAGACTTGGCCCTTTCTCAATCACTGTGGATGCTGGGCCTGCCAGGCTGGGCTGCTGGACACTCACCTTGGGCATGGAGGGATTTGCAGGACTGCCAGAACAACTGGCTGACCGTTTGTAATCCGTGTCCTGCCTGTCCTTCACTGAGGCAGACCCCAAGCCTGGGAAGAACAGGGGTGCTGGCTCCACTTTGCCAGCCAGGAGGAAGATCCCAGGGGAGTCTCTCATTAATCCTGGCTTCAAAAGGTGAGTGCTGGGGCCCAGTGCTGGGGCCAGGCTGTGTAGAGGTCCCGTGGACTCTGCAGTTTAGCTGTGTGAGAGCAGGGTGTGTGATGTTCCATCTCCTTCTAGCAAGAAGGCACCATCTGGAGTAGACTTTGAGGACACTTGACCTGTGCTGCCATACCAGAGCCTGGCCAACTGTGGCTCTGGCAGGTGGAGGTTTCACTTGCACCTGGGACCTGCTGAGCCCCTTGAGTCTGGGAAGGTAGATGGGACAAGCAGGACCCAGAGGGCTGGCTTTTTCCCTGCAGGTCTTCCCTGCTGGCAGGGGCCACCTCCCCACCTCACTTGCCATGAATTGGTGGGGGTTTTAAAGAATTTTTGTATTGTCATGTAACTGAAAGATACCCTGTGCTTAACTTATTGCCAGTAAAGATGGGTTTAGCCAACTGGTCTCTGGGGACTGGGATGACATGGATGGTCCATTCTGCCTTTCCTTTGCTTGGGAATCCTGTGGCAAATTTCACCTGACCCTGGAGGGTCAGGAGCTCGGAGCTCACCTTCCTGACAGCTTTGTGCCAGTGGGCTGGTGGGTGAGTGGTTGGAGCTTCCCCAGTAGAGCTGGGAGAATGAGCCCAGCCCCTGCTGTGCACTGGGAACTGGGTGTGAGGTCCTGTGAGGGATGCAAGCTACTGAGGCTGATCACTCCAGACACACTTGTCTCACTTGCAAAGCCTTTATTGATTTCCGTGAGCTCTGATATATGGCTTGTACTTGCCCTGCCTCACTCTGCTCCCTCTTCCACATGGGCTCCTGATAGCTTCTTAATGAAAGGTTCTGGGGCCACGGTGCCCTCCACTCCCCTTGCCCAGGGGATGGGGTCCTACTGTGTCCCCCACCCATGCCACGTCACCCCCCATGCCATGTCCCCCCCCATTCCCAGGGATGTGCTGTGGCTGTGCTGGTTCCCCTCACTGGTGCAGCTCCTCGGGAACATCTTGCCCCGGGTCACTCACTGGCAGGTGGCATTGTGTACATCCAGGGGAGGCTACAGGGATGCCCACTGCTCTCTCTGCCCCGCAGCCCTCTGCTCTGGGCAGCTTTTTCTCCCCAGCTCCTGCCCTTGTCCTCAGCATTGCCCAGCTTTGGTACACATCATGCCTGTGGCTGCAGCCCCCTTGTACCCATTACAATGTTTGAGGAACCACAGGGCAGGTTGAGGGGGTGCTGGCTGGGCTGGGTGGGTGGCACAAGAGGTGAGAACGCATTTGCGGGTGCAATGCAATGCAGATAGCTACCAGCACCTTGGTTAGGGGTGCCACCTGAGGGAATGTGGGTGCCAGGGCACAGCTCATGCTCACTGTCTTCCCCAGTGCGTGCAGGCAGGACCATGATGGTCACAGCAGGACCAGGGCAGGTGCTCACTGCAGCGACCGCACCACGGAGCGATAAGCTTGTACAATCTCCTCGCTGCTGGGGCAGGTGTATCTGAACTCCTTGATTTCCCTGGCACCGTTGAGGTACCGCCACACGCCCCGCAGGTCCTTGGGGATCCCAAAGCGGTGGTAGTGCTGGCACACGACCTGTGGGCAGGAACGGGGTGAGCCCCTGCTCAGCACTGCATGCCTGGGGTGTGCCAAGGAGGGCCCCATGGCCAAGGGCTGGTACTGACAAGCAGGATAGTGGCAGGGGGCCAGGGTACATCCCTAGAACTACACAAGACAAGGGGTAGCACCTGGCAGGGGATGCA